TGGTGGGCATAGATGACCGTACCCAGCCAGGTCACGTGTGCCTGGATGGGGTCTCTGTTCCCTTTGGGTTAGGGCAGTGGGGGAGCTGTCTTCACTTCTCTCCAGTTACTTTTCCTGACATGTAACATCCCTAGAAAAACAGTTCATGTGTTGTGTGCATGCAGCGTCGTGTATTGCATGATGAAATTTTATACGTAGAACGTTCCTGTGTAAGCAGCTCCCAGATGAGGAGGCAGAGCCTGACCAGCCTCCAACCCCTCGATGGGGCTCGCGTTCCCCAAGGTATCTGCTGTCCTGATGTCTAATGGTAAAGAGGAGTTTTGTCCATTTTTGTATTTTTTAGCAATGGGATTCTGTGGCATATCTTTTTTTTTTTTTTTCCTTTTACAACTGGCTTGTTTTTCTCAACTGAATGATTTAGACTCCCTTAAGTGTCATGTTGAGTCCAGACAGGTGACAAGCTACAGTTTCAGGAGAGCTTTTTCAAAAAGGGGGGGAACCCCACAATGATAAAATAGTGATGAAATACATCTCTTCCAGCTTCCTGTAACACTATTGACACTGAACAGAGCCCTCACTCCGTGAGCCGTGATTTTAGGCTGAACTTGGTAGTATAGAGTGTGTAGTTGGAATATAGCCTTTTCTAGGACATCCTTTCCCAGCCTGTCCCATGCATCTTGCGCCCTGATGGAGCACTTGTTGGCACGTTCTAAGCAATCTGTCTGGAGAGTAATAGGCAGAAAGAGGATTACAGAGCCCACGTGTCCTTCAGCGTAATGACTGCTGAAGGATGGAGGTATGTTGTATTGGGACGTTTCACCTGGATACCTGGATCTGAAACGGCTGCCTGCCCCCCGTACCTTTCCTTGGATTCGCCCCTCTCTTAGACGCCACCCTTCCTTTCTGGGGTGTTGCTTTGCTAAAGTAATGTCAGTAGAGGTGCCTCCCTCATCCCTGCCTTGAGTGTAGAGCGTGCCTGCATTGGCACACTCATGACTGTCATCCGTGCCTTGAGTGTAGAGCGTGTCTGCATTTGCACACTCATATCCATGCCTTGAGTGTAGAGCGTGTCTGCATTTGCACACTCATGTCCGTGCCTTGAGTGTAGAGCGTGCCTACATTTGCACACTCATGACTGTCGTCCATGCCTTGAGTGTAGAGCGTGCCTGCATTTGCACACTCATGACTGTGAGGTGGAACGCCGCTGCCTCTTGATCATACCTCATCTCCCCTCTGCTTCCATTCAGGCCCGCGCTGGCCTCAGCCGTGGTGCTGACTGGAGCCTCAGGGCTGGCCAAGGGTGACCCTGGGCACCTGACCTAGGGAGGGGCCTTCTGCGCCTGTGTTGCTTTGCTCACCACAGTTGTGTTGTGGCGTTGGAGCTCATCACGAGGCTGCATGCACTGTGAGCCTGTTTTCCACAAGGCCAGCGTGCCCAGGTGACGTTGGATTACTCACAGGAGAGTGTGATGGCGATCACAGCAGACAGCTGGTGAGTGGAGATGGTGGTTTGCAAAAAGAGAACTTTACATAGCACAGTGAGCTCAGGTCATGTTTCACCACACAAGAGCAAGCAGCACGTGACAGTTTCTGGATGGGAGCTTCACTGGCAGTGGCACACTTGACCCTGCCCCTTGTTGGTCACAGGGCCCAGAGAGCTTTGTGTCTGCGCTGGTGATTGTTCGCTGGCGCTTTTGTTGCCAAACAGTGAAGAGAGACTTCTTGATTAAATATGAAAAATGCATTAAATATTTCACTTACAAATTTGAATTATTAAATATATATTTATAATTAATACTTAATCTGTAAACACATTTAAATAGATAAGTATTAAATATTTTTGGAATATTACAGCTACTCCTTACTGAGGAGCTGTTGTGACCTCTTTGATGCTTTACCTTTTACAAATGTTTTTTTCGGTGATTTATACATGCACTTAGTTTAAAGTCAAGTAATTCTCTGAAACCTGCTATTAGGAAAAAACACAGTAGATTTGGCCACTTTTAATTTTTTTCCACTGGTTCTTTCTTCGTTCATTTTTATGGTACATAGTACATACGTATTTATGGGGTACACGAGCTGTCTTGATACAGGCATACAAGGTGTAATAATCGTATCAGTAACTGGGGACGTCTGTCCCCTCTAGCAGCCATGACTTCTGAGTGCTGGTTCTTAAGAAGTGCTTTCTGATGTGGGTAGTTGTTAGTTTGGAGTCCTGTGGGGCTGAGGGGGCGACCTTGCTGGACGGTTCTGTTTGGCTCTCTTGCTCCTCCGTTGGTGCTTTGTAGGTATTTGCCTGTGCGTCTCTAAATAAAGTGCCCCCCCTTTTTTCTTAATTTGAAGTGATATCAATGTGGATTCCCACAGAGAAAGAGGGGCTGGTGCTGTTTTCCTCCCCTGGCCCCCTTTCCTGCATAAATGCCTAGGCCGGTCGTCCCCGTGGCTGAGTTCCACCATGCTTTCACTGAGATTCATGTTCAGGGTAACATGACGAGGCGAATGCTATTCGGAGCAGAGCCACATTGTGTGCTATGGCTGTTCTTACCCATAGCGTTTTGTTTCGGAGAATTGGTAATTCTCATTTCTTTAGTTTTCTGTGTACTTTTTGCAGGTTGCAGATCTAGTCCTTTGCGTAAGGGTCTCTTTGACATTCAAATACGTTATTTTTTTGTCTTCTCTTCCTGATTAACACTCTTGGAGCCTGTGCCGTACTTTAAACTCCCTTGGTTGTGAGCCAGGCTGGCCGCACAGCTGCTGCCTCTGAGCCGCCTTCCGTTGTCACCTGGGACACTCCCCCGACTGTGTAGCTCTCCTCTACCTCTGTCTCTTCAGTTTTTTTGTTGGTTAATCCCCCTGTTTTGGAGAAGCACCTTTTTAACTCCTTGAGAAAGGGGTGCATGGGAAGTAAATTTTTGAGATATTGTATATCCGCAGATGTCTGTTTTATTAATTAGTTTTTTGTCTTTAGTTTTCATAAGTTTAATTATGGTATGAGTTGGTTTGAATTTCTTTAAGTTTATACTATTTGGGGTTCACATAGATTCCTGGATTGGTATATTTATGTCTTTTGCCAAATTTGGGATATTCTGAGCCATATTTCTTACCCTGCTTTTCAGCTCTGCCCTCTTAGACTCAGCTTCTGAGACTGATACCAGTCTTTGAAGTTCTGTTATTTCCCACAAGTACTTGGGAGTGAGTGTTGCTGGATGGGGGGCTGATGATGGGCCTGCTAGTGGTAGAGCGGGGGCTGAATGTTAAGAAGTGTGGATGGTCTCAGGCCTTCCCTATGGCTGGGTGGAGGGCAGGGAGAAGCCGGTGTGGGCAGATGGAATCGCCTGCTGCCACCTGGTGGGGATAGAGGCCTGGACTCTCTGCTGATGTCACTGGTGCTCCCTGGAGCTCTGGACACTTTGTGCAGTTCGTGGGGACACTGTGTTGCAGGTGGGCTGGGCTCGCCTACTGTCAGTGGTAGGGAAGTGGAGTGGGCCAGGGCTGAGGTCTGCCAGGCAGCCCTTTCCTTGCTCCTGTGCCAGCACGAGCAGGCTTCTCCTGGGGTTGTCAGGCTGTGCCCTTTGATAGTTCTGCGTCTCCAGCCTCTCCGGAGCTCTGTCCAGGGCGGATGGAAATCAAAAAGGCCCCAGCCCCTCTACCTTCCTCTTTCTACCTTTCAGAAATCTGAAAATATGTACAGTTTTTGAGAAAAATGCAAATTAAAATATGAGGTACTATTTCTTCTTGTCAGTTTGGCAAAAAATAGGAATATTTGGCAATATTGAGTGTTGGTGGAAGTTTGAAATAAGAACTTTTAGATACTGTTGGTGGAGATGTTGCTTGGTGTAGTTTGTAGAAACCTTTTGGAGGACAATTTAAAAAAATATATTAAAAAGTTAACTGTAATAAATACGTCTTCTGACCAGAATTTAATATATAGGCTTGTTTACAGGTATATTCAAAGGTAGACATACAAATATTTTTAATGCAGCCTTGTCTACACAAGGAAAGCACTGTCTATGGTATATGGAAATATACTGGAAATAAATAATCTGAAAATCCACTAATGGAGAGTGGGTTCCATAATGAATGCTGTAGTCATATAGCATAACATGAAGTGTTAGGTAAGCACCAGTAAGTACTGCCAGAGAAATGACCATGTTGTCTTACCTTTTGCGACTTGTGGAGAAGTATGTGTAGTGTGACTCTGTCTCCACGTACATGGATGTGTCTGATTATGTAGGCGTCACAGTGGCAGACCAGGACCTTTGAATGCTGTGAAGAGGGTGTGCTCTGGGGGCTGGAGTGGTGCTAGTGGTGGTCATGGTGCACTGGAAGGGAGGAAACTGAAATTTCTCTAAATGTTTTTTTGCCGTTGGGCAGTTACGCTACCTTTGTACTAGTAAAGTATGATCTGTTTTGTAATGAAGTAGACTGTTCTTGGTATAATTTTTCTCCCACTCTTCCCCTTTTAGGACATGACTGATAATAGCAACAATCAACTGGTAGTAAGAGCAAAGTTTAACTTCCAGCAGACCAATGAGGACGAGCTTTCCTTCTCAAAAGGAGACGTCATCCATGTCACCCGTGTGGAAGAGGGAGGCTGGTGGGAGGGCACACTCAACGGCCGGACCGGCTGGTTCCCCAGCAACTACGTGCGCGAGGTCAAGGCCAGCGGTAAGTGGCCGAGCCTGTCCTGTGTGTGGCTTTTCTTTGCCATGAGCAGAAAGAAGTAAATGTACTTGACATAGCGTTTACTCTCCAGCTGGACCTGTGCAAATGACCTGGTCTTAGGATACGGTTTTTTGTTAGATGTAATGGATTTTCACCTCAGCCCCACACTGGGGCCCTGGCATCAAGGGCTCTGTAGTTACCAGGCAGCATTTCCTTTCGTCCTGGCATTTTTCAGACGTGAAGAGAAACATCTCAGATCTTTAATCGTTGCAGTTTTACTGTGATAGAATTGATCCTCTTTTTTTTGGGAGGGGGCGGCGGGGGGCTAGTGTCAGGACTTGGAGTTGGTGATCCGCAGGCTGGATTTAATTTTTGTGGCTATGGGTGCTTTTGGCAGTGGCGTGCAGTGAGGTAATTTCTGTCATTTTCTTCGTACTAGTGATAGTATTTTACAAATGCATTGCTTCCTTATGTTTTGTAGCTGTTCACATTGTTTCACCGGCTTTCCGATTTTGAGGTTTGTGTTCTTATGAAAGAATAGTGATCCTTGGCACGTGGCTGTGGCTGCTGGGCTGTCGTGCCTGTTGTGGAAGCATGTGGGTGGGTGGGCAGAGGTGGGGGGTGGGATTTGTCAAGGGGGCATCATGTATGTAACTTGCATCCTGCCCTGTGGTTGAAAAACACCGTTGTATACTACCGTTCCTCTGATTCTGCTGGGGAAAGAGTGACTTAGAATAGCTGATACACAGGGAGGTGTGGAAAGAACGTGATGTAAATTTATAGCTCTGCTCTAGGGCTTGGGTGACTGAGCCTCAGAGCCACAGGTGTTTCAGATGGAAAATGAGGATGATCGTTCTCCCTTGTGCGGTCTTGTGGGGTTGAATTGTTAAGGTTTGTACTATGTATGGAGTCTGGCAGAGTAGGAGCTAAGGGAATGTTAATGGCTGCTATTGTTTTTCTAAGGTAGCAAGAAAAAAAGATTTACAAATGGGAATATGACAATTTTGATGTAAAAATATTTTTTTCAGTGACCTCAGAAAACAAGTAAACTTCTCTGGTAGAATTTCTAGGAACACATGCCTATTCTTTTTCTATTGTATGTATACATACACATATATATAAAGCAGTTTGCCATTTTTAAATGTACTGTTCAGTGGCACTAAGTACATTCACATTTTTATAACCATCACCACTGTTTATCTCCAGAACTTTTTTCTTCTCAAACTGAATTCTCTTCCCATTAAACAGTCCCCTTTCCCCTCCCCAGACCCTGCCCTCTACCATTCTGCTTTCTGTCTCTGAATTTGATTACCGTTGGTGCCTCATGTAAGTGCAATCATTTTGTCTTTTGACTGGCTTATTTCACTCAGCATAGAGTGCTCAAGGGTTTTCCATGCTGTAGCATATGGCAGAGTCACCTTCCTTTTTAAGGCTGAATATTTCATTGTATGTATGTACAACATTATGTGTTGATGGGAACTTGGGTTACCTTCACCTCTTGGCTATTGTGAATAATGCTGCTAAGAGCATGGTTGTGTAAGTATTTGAGTCCTTGCTTGTCAGTTGTTTTCTGTTTTCTGTATATACCCAGAAATGGAATTGCTGGGTCAGATGCTAGTTCTGTGATTAAGTCTTAAGGAACTGCCACGTGGTTTTCTCCAGTGGCTGTGCCACATCACGTTCCCACCAGCAGTGCACAGGGCTTCTGCTGCTTCTGTGTTCTCACCAACTTGTTTTGTGTGTGTGTGTGTGTGTGTTTTTTAAATAATAGCCATGCTGTTGAAAGTGAAGTTGCTACTGTTTTTGGTAGTTGTTAATAATAATTTAAAAGGCAGTATTTTTTATTGTAATAAGTCGACTTGGGCAGAATTTTTTTCTGGCTGCTTGTTATGTTCTAGTTAATGTATAAAGTACTTTCCATTTGCAACTCGGTTCTCCCCATAACCCTTGAAGACAAGTATTGCTGGGCTATTAGGAAGCGGGTAGGTTACAAGTACATGACATCCTTTAAAAAAATCTGTCCATGTGTAGAGCCCACTGAGAGCGTGGCACTGGCACCATTCTGAGGGGTGGAAATGGCAACTTGACAGACATCGCTGTTAGGAAATGCAGTTTTGTCTGTGACTCAGTTGGATGGCGCCGGCCTGCATGAGCCTGCCTGGAGACCTAGGGCTAGGGCAGGCCCAGTCCATGCTGTGAGCCCATCTCCTAGCCCGGCCCTGCCAGTTGGAGAGATCTTTCTTCTGGGGACCAATGAGAGCAGCCCTGGGCCAAGAGGCCTGAGATGGCGCCAGTGGACTTTCCAGGAGGACACTTGAGCTAGGGCAGAGGAAGGAGGACCTCGTTGCTCACCTTTGCCAAGGAGAGTTGAGGTTACAGAGCTGCTGAGTGGACGCACCTTTGGAGTAGGGACAGATGCTTGTTCCAGCTGGTCTTTCTTTATTTAATTCTTAAGTGAACTCCTCCTTAAGTGTGAATCCTGGACTGACTGAAGCACAGTAAGAGTGCAGGTGAGTGGGTTTTCACTTTTCATGTGTTTTTCCTTGTGAATTTTTTAGAAGTAACCCAGCGTAAGGAAATTACACTGAAAAGAATGCGGTTTGTGGATCTCAAAATCCTCTCCAGTGGGACGTGGTTTTCAGACACATTTGAATGTTGTCAGTGTCATCTGCCGTGGGAATTTGTCTTGCAGTGTGCTGTTACCTCTGATAGCCCACAGGAAGGCGTCGTGGGCTCCCTCTTTGGAGTGGATTGTGGGTCCTGGAGGTGGCAGCAGCAGAGGACGCTCTCCAAGGACCAGCAGGGCGTGTTTAGAAACACGGCTCTTGTGAGGAACGGTGCTCTCACTTTGTTCTACCCGAAGCCCCCACTCATGTCTTATGTGTGTCTGAGCGTGTGTGCGTGCCCGGTTTAAACGTGTGTGCGTGTACATGGTGTGTTGCCATCAAGGAGCTCTTTGCAGGGGCCACACTGAATCCATAGGTGTATTAGGGTTCTTCAGAGGGACAGAACTAATAGGGGATATATATATCTCTCTCTCTCAAGGGGAGTTTGTTATATATATTATATATATAAACATGCGTATATAATAAACATGTATATATATTATATATATAGGAGTTTAACTTACATGAGCACAAGGTCCCACAATAGGGGAATGTATAAATACGTACATGTGTGTATATATATGTATATATGTGTACTATATGTATATACACACATATGTATATATGTATACTATATGTATACATACACATACACGCATGTATATATGTATACTATACACATACACACGTTTCTGTTATACTATATATACGCATGTATCTGTATACTATATACACGTATGTATACTATATGTACACATGTATCTATGCATACTATATGTACATACACACACGCATATGTATGTATACTATATGTATATACACACATGTATATATGTATACTAAATGTATACACACACATATGTATGTATATTATATATGTATACAAGGTCCCACAATAGGTCATCTGCAGGCTAAGGAGCAAGGAGAGCCAGTCCGAGTCTCAAAACTGAAGAAGTTGGAGGCCGACGTTTGAGGGCAGGAAGCATCCAGCACAGGAGAAAGATGTAGGCTGGGAGGGTGGGTCAGTCTCACCTTTTCACATTTTTCTGCCTGCTTTATATTTGCTGGAAGCTGATTAGGTGGTGCCTACCAGCTTAAGGGTGGGTCTGCCTTTCCCAGCCCACTGACTCAAATGTGAATCTCCTCTGGCAACACCCTTGCAGACACATCCAGGATCAATACTTTGTGTCCTTCAGTCCGATCAAGTTGGCACTCAGTATTAACCATTACAATAGGTTTTGTGCCAAACTGAGACTTGAGTAACTTTGGAAAATTTCCCCTTTTTTCCTGTTTATTTTTTTAAATTCAAGAAATACCATTTTTGAGCATATCAGTGATTAATAAGCTAAACTTTATCTGATGGTTGAACCAAGGGAATAACCTTCTGTCCCTGTTGTTCTCTGGTTACCTGAGCATATTGTATGGAAAGTCCTGCTAGTTTTATTTTAGCTTATTTATTTTTAATTTTATTTTACTATTTCATTTTGAGATGGAGTTCCACTCTTGTTGCCCAGGCTGGCGTGCAGTGGCTCTCACTGCAACCTTTGCCTCCTGGGTTCAAGCGATTCTGCCTCAGCCTCCTGAGTAGCTGGGATTACAGGCATGCACCACCATGCCTGGCTAACTTTTGTAGTTTTAGTAGAGACGAGGTTTTACCATGTTGGCCAGGCTGGTCTCCAACTTCTGACCTCAAGTGATCCACCCGCCTCAGCTTCCCAAAGTGCTGGGATTACAGGCGTGAGCCACCATGCCCAGCCTAGTCTGATTTTAAACGGGGGCATTTGAGGCAAGTGTGAAACCACATTTTTTACCATGTCACTCTAGAGCAGTTAAGAATAAAATTCTAGGATCACAATTACATTTCAGTATAGCAGACTTCCCTCTCATCTCTGGCTTTGCTTAATGTGGTTACAATTACCTGTGGTCAACCCTGGTTTGAAATAGGTGAGAACAATACAGTAAGATACCTTGAAAGAGAGACCACATTCACATAACTTTAGTTATAGTATATTGTTATAATTGTTCTGTTTCATTATTAATTGTTGTTAATCTATTATTGTACCTAATTTCCAGATGAAACACACATAGGTATGTATAGATAGGAAAACATAGTATATATAGGGTTGGTGTATATACAGAGGTATAGCCGCAGTTTCAGACATCCAGTGGGCCGTCTTGGAGGTGCCCCGTGGATAAGGACGGCGGCTGTATTGCATGTTTTCCAGTAGTTGATGAGGCTTTCTGATTTTGGAATTAGGTTTCCTTTTTTGAAGAGTGTGTTTAATGTATTTTGATTTATAGTTAATTAGTGCTTGATTTTTCTGAAAACAAAATTGTGCCAGGTTCCAAACTTAGAGACTTCTCTGACCATCATGTTAGGATCATTTCTTTATTCAT